CAGTGTATTATTTGTTGAAACTGTACTTTCGATTTGATTTGAAACTGTCTCATTGCTATATGTTTATCAATAAAACTTTGAAAAGAAAAAAAATTTTTTTAAAAGGAAAAAAAGGATGGGGATGTAGTTCAATCCTCAGTAACACCAAAAACAAAACAGGAAAACATATCTAGTAACCTACTATGCACATATAGCAGTTAGACTCTGTAATCTCTTCAGTAAATTTGACTGGGGCCAGGGATATAGTTTGGCAGTATTAAGCGCCTGCCTGGCAAATGCAAGGTCCCAAGTTTGATCCCCAGTACTGGAGAAAAAGAAAAAAAAAGTAAATTGACTGAATCTTGAGAACAAAAAAGTCTAAATTTAAGAACTGTGACCCAGGGCTAGGGAGACAGCTTGGTGGTCTAAGTACCTGCCTGGCAAGTGCAAGGACCCAGGTTTGATCCCCCATGCAGGCCCCACAACAGTACCAGGCATACCAAGCTGGCCACCGAAACCAATCATGGTGGCACATGCCTGTAATCCCAGTGCTGGGTAGACTAAGACAGGAGGATCACTAGAGTCAGAGCTGTACAGCGAGACTCTGTATCAAATAAGTAAATAAATAAATGGATTAAAAAGAAAGAAGAGAAGAGAGGAAAAAAAAAAAAAAAGAATCATGACTCAATGAGCTAGGTATGATAGTCCAGGACTATAATCTCAGTGGAGGCCAAATGAGTATTGCAAATCTGGTCCCAGCTGCAGCTACACTGTTTCCTTGTCTAAAAAAAAAAAAAAAAGTGCTTGAGTGTTACTTCGCTTTGCTACTCCATCAGCAGCATCCCCTTAGAAAGAGGGCTTCTCCACTGAAGGGTCTTTGTGCCTGACTTGCTAAGAATTTTAACTGGATAAAGACATGGATTCAATTTATAAGATGGAAGTGGCAGCTAACACAAGATTCATTATTGAAATTGCTCACATAGGAAGGGACTAAGCAGCCTATCTGATAGGGTCCTCCCTTTTCTACCATACGTGAGACCTGGGTTCAATCGCCAGCACTGGAGTGCATGTGTATGTGCTCTAATAGACTGGACTTATGACAGAAAGCCAATTAAATGGACCTCAGCAAAAATCAGTGGGCAGGGCTGGGGAGAGAGCTCAGAAGAATAAGTGCTTGCCTGGCAAGTTCAAGGTCATGAGTTCAATCCCCAGTACCGCAGGGGGGGAAAAATTCAGTGGGCACAAAGGAGAAAATCATTAATTCCAAGTATGAAATTAACAAGTCTCCTGTTGAAGGCAACTCCTGAGGGTGGCCAAATAGCTGAGTATTTATTTTGGAGATCAAAAACTTGGGAAGAGCCAAAATAGCAATCTCAAAAGGGCTATGTTTGGCATAGTGGAATTAGCCTTGGAACCACATAGCAAGAAGAGACCAGTATTATGGAAGTTTCAGGAAGGCAGATGGTAGTCTACAACAGGGGGAAAAACATTAATACACAGCTACTGAAAACCAGGAGAAGATGCTGCTGGAAGGAGCCATCCCTGGGATATGCTTAAGGCTGGTCAATGAGTCAGCCAAATTAATGTGTTTTTTGGTTTTGTTTCTTTAGGCAGGGTCTCACCATGTAGTCCCAGCTGGCCTTGAACTCACTACATAGCCCGGGATGGTCTTCAAACTCAGTGATCCTCCTGCCTCAGCCTCCTTCCTCCTGCCTCAGCTTCCTGAGTGCTGGGGTTACAGGCATATGCCACCATACCCAGCACAAATGTATTTTTTAAAAAAAATCATTATTTAACTAACATGTTACATATCTGATTTTACATGAAGTGGTTATAGTTTAAGAGACAGAAGGACCAGGATCTCTGCAGTCTGTGGTGGGGCTACCTGGGCTGTGTGCACAATACCATCAAAGAACCCTGTCCTGAGCGCTGTAGTGAGCTCTGCAGGGTCCTTCTCGCCTTTGAAGACCCCTCAAGGAATGCATACCATGGGCTGACCTGGAGTTAGCTTCTATACCTGGTTCAGTAGACTCACACAACCTAATTCAGGAGGACAGGATGTTCCTGAAGTGAATTATTAAGAGGATGCCCCCATCTTTCAACTGAGGCCTACAGATCAGGAGATGACTGCCACTGAATAGACAATTTTTAGCTTAC